ATAATGTCAACCCCCCCTCCTTTATTCCCATCCGTCACGCTGCCACTATTCCTAAGCCCTTCATTAGCCTCATTAAAAACCGATGCAAAATATTTGTTTAGACATTGTGCCATGCCTAGAATATCCTTAATCTCCACTCCATCTACAGTCTTAAGCGGTCCCACTTCTTCTTTCTTTGTTTTCTTCTTATTTATATGTCTATAAAACCTCTTACTATTGGTTTTAATTCCCCTCGCAAGGTCCAACTCTACACGGCTTTTGGCCTTTCTCACTCCATCTCTACATGCTGTGACCTCAACAAGGTAGGTTTCTTTGCTGATCCCTCCCATCTTCCACTCCTTGTACGCTTTCTGTTTTTTCTTAATCACCCCTCTGAGACGCTCGCTCATCCAGCTCGGTCTAAATCTCCTGCCCACGAACCATTTTCCCTTTCTCGGGATACAGGCCTCCGACAGCTCCTGCAACTTCAACTTGAAATAATCCCAGGCGCCTTCCACCTTTAGATCCATAAATATGTTAGTCCAATCCACTTCCCTAACTAGTCGCCTTAATTTATTAAAGTTAGCCCTTTTGAAATCGTAAACCTTAGTCTCTGATTTAATTCTGTGAATCCTTCCATTTAGTTTAAACCGAATTAGCTCATGATCACTCGAGCCAAGGTTGTCCCCTACAACCATTTCCTCAACGAGGTCCTCACTACTCACCAAAACCAAATCTAAAATGGCATCCCCCCTCGTCGGTTCAGCAACTACTTGATGAAGGAATTCATCAGCTATCACGTGTAGGAAAATCTGAGCCCTATTATTGTTACTAGCATTTGTTCCCCAGTCTATATCCGTGAAGTTAAAGTCTCCCATGATTACACAGTTCCTATTAGTATTTACTTCCCTAAAAACATTAAAGAGTTCTCTGTCCATATCCAGGGTAGATCCCAGCGGTCTATAGCACACCCCAAGCACTATCCCAGGGGAGGCTCTAGTAGTTCTTTTACCCAATGTGAGTAATGCCCAGACAGACTCCGTCTTATCCATTCCATCACTTATTATTTCTTTACAGTTTACCTCATTATTGACATACAATGCTACTCCCCCACCTTTGCCTTTGTTCCGGTCCTTCCTAAACAGCACATACCCTTCCATACCTGTACTCCAGTCATGACTACCGTTGCACCACGTTTCGATTATTCCTACGATATGAAGCTTAGACAAATTCAGACTAGAAGTAAGGGGTACATTTTTAACGTTGAGAGTAATGAACCACTGGAACAATTTCCAAAAGGGTCGTGGTGGATTCTCCATCCCTGACAGTTTTAAAATCAAGTTTAGATGTTTTTCTAAAAGCTCTGCCCAAGAAAAGATTTGGGGGCAGGTCTCTGACCTGTGTTATACAGGAAGTCAGACGAGATGATCACAACAGTCTCTTGTGGCCTTGGAATCTATGAAGTTATACAGCCAAGGACCTTGATACTGGGTGAAGTTCTCTGGCCTGGGTTACACAGGAGGCCGACTGGATGGGCACAATGGGCTCTTCGGCCTTGACATCCACAGGCGAAGTCCTGGCCCCATTGTAGTCCATGGAATCATGGATTCCAAGGCTAGAAGGGACCACTGTGATTATCTAGTCTGTTGTGCTGTATCACACAGGCCAGAGAACTTCCCTGAGTTAATTCCTGTTTGAACTAGGCCGGATCTTTTAGAAAAACCTCCACACTTGCTTTAAAACTTGTCATAGAGAATCTGCCACAACCCTTGGTAGGTTGTCCCTATGGTTGATTACTCTCACTGTTAAAAATGCATGCCTCATAAACCCAGCACATCCTGGATTTCAACCCATGATACCTCTCCTAGCCTGCGTGTCGTGCTGGGACACTGGCTCCCAGCCAGCTCCGTCTCTAGAGGGTGGGTTGGGAGACGGTTTTTCAGCCCAGTGAGTGGTGATCTGTTTCCATGTCGTTCCAGCTGGCAACGAGGCGCAGAGCGGGGACAAGGAGGGGAGTCCTGGCCCGGAGGACGGGGCGCTGTCAGGCGGGTCCGAGTGGGAGTTGTCCCCCAGCCCCGACCGGGAATGGCCGCCGATGACGCTCCCCACTGCCAACTCAGGGAAACCCTACAACTGTGCTGACTGCGGCAAAGCCTTCACCTGGCCCTCACCCCTGGTGCAGCACCAGCGCATGCACACGGGTGAGCGCCCTTACCGCTGTGCCGACTGCGGCAAAGGCTTCGCCGACAGCTCCCGGCTGGCCCAGCACCGACGCACCCATGCTGGGGAGCGACCTTACTGCTGCCCCGACTGTGGGAGGGCATTCGGCCGTTGGGCACACCTGATCGAGCACCGGTACACCCACACTGGCGAGAAACCCCACCGCTGCCACCAGTGTGGCAAAGGGTTCAGCCAGAGCTCCAACCTGACGCAGCACCAGAAGACCCACCTGGCGGAGAAGCCTTTCATCTGCCCACAGTGCGGGAAGGGGTTCTGTCTGCGCTCCCAGTTGGCCAAGCACCAGCGGCTGCACAGCCCTGACAACCCCCATCGCTGTCCCCAGTGCCACAAGGGCTTTGTGGACCGCTCCCCGCTCCTCAAGCACCTGAGGATCCACACCGGGGAGCGGCCCTTCCGGTGCACTGAGTGTGGGAAAACTTTCAGCATGAGTTCACACCTCACACAGCATCAGCGAGTCCACACTGGTGAGAAACCCCACCACTGCCACCAGTGCGGCAAGGCATTTGCCCAGAGCTCCAACCTGACGCAGCACCTGCACACCCATACTGGGGAGCGCCCATACAAGTGCCCCAAATGTGGCCGGGCCTTCAGTGATAGCTCCAGCTTCTTGAGGCACCAGCGGCTGCACAGTGGGGAGCGGCCCTACCGCTGCCACCACTGCGGCAAGGGCTTTGCTGATGGCAAAGTGCTGCGCAAGCACCAACTGACCCATAGCGGTGAGCGGCCCTTTGCCTGTGGGCAGTGTGGCCGCGCCTTTGCCCAGAGCTCCAACCTGGTGCAACACCAGGCCATCCACACCAGTGAGCGGCCCCACCTCTGCCACCAATGCGGCAAAGGGTTCTGCTTTCCCTCACAGCTGGCGCAGCACCGGAAGCTCCATGCCACTATTATTGTGGTGGACGATGGCGATAACAAACTCCCCTCCCCACCTGCCAACTAAGCCCCTCCAGTCCCCTGCTGCCCTGGGTGGGGATTGAATCCGGGACTCCTCTGTTGCTTGAATTACCAGGCCAAGAGGGTGATACAGACTTGTAATCCTTTATCCAGCCACTAGAGAGGGACAGGGAGCAGGTTTAGTGCTACAGCTGATCAAGGGACAGAAAGAAAAACAGTTTTACTAAGTCAATCTGGTTCTGGAACAAGATACTTTTTTTCTTGTAATCGAAATTGTTGGTGATATTTCCCCCCGCCCCCCCAAGTCATGTGACTATTGGAAAATCTCCGCTTTTTAAAAAAGTTATTTTCTGATCTTCATGGTTGGGGAGAAAAGCTGGGAAAATTACTCCAAATGGCTCAGAATCGTGACTAAACAGACCCTTCCATTTACGATTTTCAACCTCTCATGATGTTTTTAAGCCATGATTATTCTGGGGGCTGGCTCGTGATTTTTGAATGCTTAGAGTGGCCATGCTGCTGGGGTTAAATTTTGGAGATATTTGTGAACCCACTCCAATCCCAGTGGAGTTGGTGGAATTTGTTCATGTGTCTCACAGTTGTGAAGGGTTTAGGAATCCACCAGAGGCTGAACTTATAGCCAGAATTCTAAGGCTAAGGTGTAATTCATTGGCTTAATGCCTGTGGCCATGTCTCCCTCTAGTGCACAGCCCTGGCTACTACAATACCCACTGCTCACTCACAGCTGGGGGAGTTACCCCTTTAGCTCAGGGTAGCATGGCATCATGCATTGGGGTTGGGATTGGGGCTAACGGACGAGAGCTGGTCAGGAAATGATTTGTTTGTCCCCATGAAATGTTTTAATGAAAACATGGTTGGGAAAAATGTGTTTCCTTGAAATTTTTCATCTAAACTTTTGTGGAAAATGTTCAGGGTTTTTGTCAACAAACCTAAAGCTGAGAAAATTTGGGTTCCCAAAACCCAAACAGTTTCCAGGTATTTTTCAATGCCATGGAAATTTCTAGGGGAAAAAAAATGTTTTGTCAACAACAACAACAAAAGACCAGGGGGATGGGACGGGACAGGACGACATTTCCCACCTAAAAGTCTTTGGATGGCCAGCATCTGATCAGCTTTGGAAGACAGTCACGTGCCCAAATTCCTTCAGATCCTGTAATAATCACCTTTGGGGGCTGAGAACCCATGGGTTGGGTATACAAGAATAAACAACACATCACAATGGAATTGGCTCCTTGGTTTTCAAGCCTTTTTGGAAGTGTCACACAATTGCTCCTATTTGATTGAAACCTCCCTGGTTTTATATATGTAATATGAAAAGTAATGTTTTCCTCCATTCTTTTCCCAAAACTTTTGTGTGTTCATTTTTTTAGAAAACCAACACTTAAAAATAATACTTAGGGAAGATTAGAAATAACAACCTACACTTTTTGTTTTATTTGTTACAACACAAAACAAAAAATAAAAACCAAGGAAAGGTTTTTCTTCACCAGGCAAAAAACTTTGTTAACTACAGGAGTCTAACAACAGTATCACAAATTAAGGGATAGCCATTAATAACCTTAACTCCGCCCTTCAGGAAGTATTTTGTTAAAGACTGGGCTACTGTTGTTAGGACTCCTCCATTTGGATTTGGATGTTAGGAGTTAGACTTCCCAGCTGGGATTTTTCAAAGGAGTTGAAGAGAATTTGGTTTCTAAATTCAATGGGATTGAATTAATTAGAGTGAATTGACATTTTGTAAGCAAAACCTATTCCTGGCAAAAAATGAAGTTGAGTGAAAAATTGAGTTTTTCTCATGAAAACGTTATTTTCAACAAAACATTTTGACTGGTGATTACAAAATGCACATTTCTGTTTAATTTCCAATTGGATTTTTTTGCTTTGCTCTCCTCACCTCAAACACACTTTCTGTCTCACTTCTACTTTCACCCATCATTTGCAGTGAGGAAAAAAAGGGGAGAAAATAACCCCAAAATCCCCAAATTGAAAACTTTTTTTAAAAATCCAGACTGAAATTGTGATTTGAAAATAAAATGTTTCTTTCTTTCTCAAAAATATTTTAACCAGTTCTAGATCAGATTTCCTGAGGGGATTTCAAGATCTTTTGTATGCTGGAAATCTGCCCTGATTCAAGACATCAGCTGCACCAATAGAAGTAGTGATTTCCATAGTCTTCCTTAGGGGGTTACATTGGGACGGGTACATGACGAGCAGCTGCAATCAGCAGAAATCCCAATTTAAACAATGTTTGGGTTAAACTCTTCTTTCCTGAATCCTCTGTATTTATTAGGCGCCACTTTAGAGACACCTGTGAACCTCTTCTCAGATGTATCTGGCACCTGGCTGCTTCTTGTGAAGTGTTGATAGAAGCCGTCATTGCTATGATCCTTTCAGGATTGGACCTCTGTGGCCTAAAAGGTGACCCAGTTTGGGACATCCTTAAAAGGGCCTGATTCTGAATAAAGTGTTGATCACTTTTCCTCCCAAAATCAGGACCCCTTTAAGGTACTGAGCTGGGGCGCACACAGCCTTAAAATCTCTAGTCACTTCTGAAAATCTTGGCAGAAGGGATTAAGTCCAAACTCCCAAATATCATAGAATACCAGGGTTGGAAAGGACCTCAGGAGGTCATCTAGTCCAACCCCCTGCTCAAAGGGAGACCAATCCCCAGACAGATTTTTGCCCCACATCCCTAAATAGCCACCTCAAGGATTGAATTCACAACCCTGGGTTTAGTAGGCCAATGCTCAAACCACTGAGCTATCCCTCCTCCCTATCGGGGGTATTTGTTCACTTTTAGCTACAGGATTCTAACAACACTCATAGACTCATAGACTCATAGACTTTAAGGTCAGAAGGGACCATTATGATCATCTGGTCTGACCCCCTGCATGCTGCAGGCCACAAAACCCTTCCCTGGACTCTGCCATTGAAGTCCCCAATCCTGTGTTTTAGTGACTTCAGTCGGCAGAGACCCTCCTGCTAGCAATCCGTGCCCCATGCTGCGGAGGAAGGCGAAAAACCTCCAGAGGCTCAGCCAATTTACCCTGGAGGAAAATTCCTTCCCGACCCCAAATATGGCGATCAGTAAGACCCCGAGCATGTAGGCAAGAGTCTCTAGTCTGACCCCTGTTGGCCATTATACTATTTACGTACCATTGCTTGGTTTTCCTTCATAGAATCATAGAATCATAGAATATCAGAGTTGGAAGGGACCTCAAGAGGTCATCTAGTCCAACCCCCTGCTCAAAGCAGGACCAATTCCCAGCTAAATCATCCCAGCCACGGCTTTGTCAAGCCGGGCCTTAAAAACCTCCAAGGAAGGAGACTCCACCACCTCCCTAGGTAACGCATTCCAGTGTTTCACCACCCTCCTAGTGAAATAGTTTTTCCTGATATCCAACCTGGACCTCACCCACTGCAACTTGAGACCATTGCTCCTTGTTCTGTCGTCTGCCACCACTGAGAACAGCCGAGCTCCATCCTCTTTGGAACCCCCCTTCAGGTAGTTGAAGGCTGCTATCAAGTCCCCCCTCATACTTC